GGCTCGAGTGATTCTCTTGCCTCAGCCTCCCTACTAGCCGGGACTACAGGTGCCCGCCACAATGCACAGCTATGTTTTTTCTCTGTTTAGCAGGCCTGGGCTAGGTTTGAACCCACCAGCCAGGGCGCATGTGGCTAGCGCACTAATCACTGAGCTACAGGCACCCAGTCTACAGTCAATATTATTAAAATAAATACAAAAGGATCACAGAGGAGATTTGTAGATATCCTAACATATTTTTGGTCCTAAGCCAACATTTGACTGTAATCAAATGCAAGGTTTTAATATATCAAAAGAATATGTCCATCAGAAGAAGAGTTGGTCAGAGTTTCCCAAAAGAAATTTCTGCCATGGTGAAATACACTGTGCAGTATAGTAGCTGCTCACTACACATGGCACTAAATACTTAAAATGTGGTTAGTGCAACTGAGGAATTGAGTTCTCAGCTTTATTTGCTTTTATTTAATTTAAATAGCTACAGGTGGTGAGTACCTACCATACTGTATCATGGAGCTCTGGGTTACTTCATACTTGAGGAAGGCATATACCAACTGCGCAGAGCAATGCACCAGGCTGGCCTAACTTTATCCCTATCTAACTAACCTGCTAGGACTGCATGCTCACCATGCATCCTCTAACTATGTTTTTTAACATAGATTATTAGCATATAGGGAGAGTATACACGATGAGTAGATGTAAATATCTGAGCCACATATCTAATTGAAAGAAATTGTCATATTGATTTTAATTATCAGTTTTTCACGAAGTGTGTTACCTTGAATCTGTTCCTTGGTATGCTAACAAACTTGACTTGAGGTTGGACAGGCCTGTAGGCACTGGCCTAGATGGCATTTTGCATCACTGAAAGACTCATCAGACTGAACAGAACCCTTACTCCTTAACTCTGTGTAAACATGCTTTCTATGATATACCACATTTATTTTTCAATAAGTTGATAGCATTGCTTACCTCTTTTTCCAGGACCTTCAAATCTTTATCATTCTTTTGAGATTCCTTCTGTTTAAAAAAGAACAATTATAAACAACTTAAAAGTGCCACAAATATCAAACCCAAATTCTATTTTTACTTATCAGAAAGATTAAAAGATCCAAACACATGCCTATAATTCTAGCACTCTGGGAGGCCGAGGAGGGAGGATTGCTTGAGCTCAGAAATTTGAGACTAGCAGGATCAAGAATGAGACCCCGTCTCTATAAAAAGAAAAATTAGCCAGCCGTAGTTGTGCCTATAATCCCAGCTACTCAACAGACTGAGGAAGGAAAATTGCTTGAGCTCAACAGTTAGTTGGAGGTTGCAGTGAGCTATGATGATGCCATTGCACTCTAACTGGGGCAACAGAGCAAGACTCTCCAAAAATAAAAAATTAAAAAAAGCAAAACAGTCAATATATTTTACTTAACGCAATATGTCAAATACACATATTATTTCAGCAGGTCATTAGTAAGAAAATTTTTTTTTTTTTTTGAGACAGAGCCTCAAGCTGTCCGCCTGGGTAGAGTGCCATGGCATCACAGCTCACAGCAATCTCCAACTCCTGGGCTCAAGCAAGTCTCCTGCCTCTGCCTCCCAAGTAGCTAGGACTATAGGCGCCTGCCACAATGCCTGGCTATTTTTTGGTTGCAGCTGTCATTGTTGTTTGGTGGGCCCGGGTGGATTCAAACCTGCCACCTTAGGTGTATGTGGCTGGCACCTTAGCCACTTGAGCCACAGGTGCCAAGCCAGTAAGAAATTATTGAGATGTTTTATAATTTACATACTCAAATTGTTCCAAAAACATTTGAAAATTTTCCACTAAAAAAAATGAGCATGTTTTAAATATACAGTATTATAACTCTCACTACTCCTTAAAAGTTTCTGCGGTGCAAACATCCTTTAGGCACTGGATTTTTTTTTCCTTTTTCTTCACCAATACTTCACTATCCTCACAAGCACAGAAAAAAGCAAAACAAAACACTCAAATCATGCTAACTAATAAATAATCACATAATTTTCAAAGGCTTAAAAGGTAATGTAAAATTTACTTAGATATAAAAATAGGCTGGATAAGATGGTTCACGCCTGTAATCCCAACAGTTTGGGAGGCAGAGGCTGGAGGATTGCTTGAGGCCAAGAGTTTGAGACCAGTGGGAAAACACAGCAAGATCTTTCTTGCCTCCACA